GCTTTAAGTGCCCTTCCACCCCAAACCCTTCCATGATTCTATGTTTCTATGATAATTTGTTGAGGACCGGCTGTGGGCTGAAGACAAGTTTTGGGTAGAACAGTTCCCACATCATTAAAGCCGATGGGTGGGAAGAGCCATCCTCCGTACCGGTCTTCTCCCAGGCGGTCACAGCAGACCCTGACTCTGCCTCTGCTTTCCCCCGCAGATGCCAGTACGTCGCCCGATGCCGTGAAGAGGAGCCATTGGTGCAACGTGGCCTATTGGGAACACCGGACGCGCGTCGGCCGCCTCTACACAGTGTACGAACAGTCTGTCAGTATATTTTATGACCTACCTCAAGGAAACGGCTTCTGCCTTGGACAGCTAAACCTGGAAAACAGGAGCGAGACTGTGAGAAGGACTCGAAGTAAAATCGGCTACGGGATTTTACTTAGCAAAGAACCGGACGGTGTGTGGGCTTACAACCGCAGCGAGCATCCCATCTTCGTCAACTCCCCGACACTGGACATCCCCAACTGTAGGACTTTGATAGTGCGCAAGGTGATGCCGGGCTATTCCATCAAGGTGTTCGACTACGAGAAGTCCTGCCTCTTGCAGCACACGGCCGATCTGGACTACGCGGACGGGCCCTACGACCCGAACAGCGTACGGATTAGCTTCGCCAAAGGCTGGGGACCGTGTTACTCCAGACAGTTCATCACGTCGTGTCCTTGTTGGCTGGAGATCTTGCTCAGTAACAGTCGATAACGGTCAGCCTCTGATGAAAGGAAAAAGAAAAAAAAGACACAGACTATCCCAAATATCATCTACCTAGATTTAATATAAAGTAAAAAATTATATGAAAATATATATTATACTTGTAATTATGGAGTCATTTTTACAATGTAATTATTTATGTATGGTGCAATGTGTATATGGACAAAAAACAGAAAATGCACTTTGGCTTATATAATTCTTTCAATACAGATTTTTTTAAAAAAGAAAAATTATACAGCAAAAATAGGAGAAAGCCCTAATTTTGATGTATGGTTTTTTGAAATATTATTAATACCCAGACAAAAAGCTAATACCAGTCACTCATTGATAATAAAGTATTCGCATTATAGGGGGGCTTTTTAATTGTCTTTTTTTCCCCCCACCTCCCTGACTGAAGTCCGCAGCAGTGTCTGCTCGGACGCTCTGCAGTCGGGGGGTAAATTTGGGAAGAGCAGAGTAGACCAGGGCCCGAAAAGCTGCCCAGTAGGACCAGTTTGCATTATCAGCCCTGCATGGGGATTGTCTCAGGAGTCCGGTACCTCCCCGATGTGTTTGATGGTTGAGTTTCACAACCAAGTGGTGGTTTTGGACAACCCGTGGTTGGGTGGATCCTTAGTTGGAGACACCATAGCGTGGCTGGAATTTCTGGAACCGCTCCAGTAACTGGAAACAGGGTGGAGGTGAATTGGGCAAATTGTGTGCAGGTTTGTCCTGAAGGTCTCCCGGTCTGTCGCCCAGGCAATAAAGCGATAGGGGATTGTTTGGGAGGAATATATTCTCTCTGTGGAGCAATTGCAGCCAGAAGCCTTGGTCAAATGAGCTTGTCATGGCCGATTTACTCTCTAGAAATCCCGGATAATCGAGCACTTTGCTGACTTGTGCATGAGCGCCGTGGCTGTCGGCGCTGTAGCACCCGTGCGATTGCGTGGGCAGGTGGGATGTTGTCTGACTCGGTTAGTGAGGTCAGTCACTGCAGTGTCTTAGAGCTGTGTCACAAATCCCCAGGCATTTGATTTTTCAGAAAGTCCCGGCCTCTGGAGGCAGGTGTCTGCAGAAGCACCTCAGTTTTCAGCGTTGCAGGGGATGTTTTTGTATTTGTGGAGAAAAACATGCCAGGAGACCTCCTCAGTGGCTCAAAAACCCAGACAGAGAGTAGAACAGGACATAAACTTACACCCTGCTGATGCATGTCCTGCATTTTGCCAACCAGACTCCGTGTTCCTACTGCAGCCATGAGGAAGGTGGGGACTGCATCCCGCGGGAGAACGCGCAGACCTGGGCTGGACATCGGGGAGAGACGCGAGTAGGGAATGTCGCAGTGATATTTCCACAGTCATTTTTCAAATTATAACCATACTTGATATTTAATTGGGACCACATTGGTGGAGTTCATGCAGCATCAGTATTAATACTTGACATCATTAATTTTTGTTTGTGTTACAGCCATTGTTGTCAGGGAACGGTGTCAAAACATGTCACTATCGTTTAAAGCCAGCTTTCAAGAGCTTTGCAGGGTTTTTTTTATGCTCTTTGGCTTAGATTTGGTTGTGTCCTGCCATACCACCTACATCACTCACTGCATCACTTTCACGCACTCGGACAAGAGGCTGTTTTTCTGTTTTGGTGTTTTTTTAAGAGGTTTTTGTTCATACCATTCTCATTTTAACTGGGAAGAACCAGCCAAAAGCTGAGTTGTTTCTCTCTGTTTCCTTTTCTCCGCTCCTCTTCCCTGACATTTCCCACCACCGCCCAGAAGGTTTTGCATTCGCATCCTGAGCTGGCTGCTGCCCTCCTCCCTGCCCTCTTCCTCCTCCTTGCACGCACGCGGGACGCAGCAGTGCCGTCATTTTCCACTTCCTCAAGGCTTCTTCCGTATTTTGGACAGAGGAGCACCAAGGATGGACGTTGTACAAAAGCCCTTGTCCCAGTGCCCACAGAAGCTGTTCCCATGCCTTTGACTTTACCTGACTTAACTCTGCGTTTGCAGTGTGGTCGGGCGCCTTCCAGCTCCGTTCCTGGTTTGCGTCAGTGAAAGGATCTTTGTGTGTTGAAACTGTTAACTTTGGGGTTTCCCTTGTGCAATCCACTGATTGTGATTAGGGTTTGTTTTTTTTAATTACCCATGCGCTTCCCCAGGAATAAATCTGGAGTTTTATTTCACTTGACAGCAAGGCTTTAAAGGGAATAAAAAGGATTTTATGGTGAGGCAGTGAAATAAGACATCAAATAATCTTTTCTGCCCTGTTTCTCCTCTTTAATACCTTACTGTAATCATTCAAACTTGGGACCCTTTAAAGAAGCTTCGAAGGTATTGCACCCCACACCGGACCTTCGCAAAGCTCAGCTGAAGCCTTTCCCATGCGATGCCCTGCACTAGCTTTGAACCCAGGGGCTGTTCGGGGTCTGGAAGCTGGCACGCGGAGCAGACCTTGGGAAAGCTGTGAATGGAGGGCACATCCATCAGGGAGAGAGGGATTCTTTCCCTGCCAGGGCTTGCAGGAGCAGGTAAGCATCGCTGGGTTTTGCTAACGACCCAATTGGTCTCTCCTGTGCACACCCACAGCTGCTGGCATTTACTCATCTGCCCCAGCCCCTATAAAAACAAGGATGGCCCCCACCCTTCCTCTTTCGGGCAGTCTCATCCAAATGTGCCTCCTTCTCCCTCCTGGAGCAGTTGTGGCCTTCCAGCACTTAAGGTGAGTGGCATTTTCTTTTTTTCTTGTTCCTGTGAGTTTTGTATGAGATAACACCTTTTTTAGGGGCAGAGAGGAAAGCATTCTCTTGGCAGGAGGGTGTGAAGGGTGGTCTGAGGT